GCAGCTGGGGAGCCGGCAGAGGTCTGGGCGAGCACCCCCCGGGGGGGTCTCCCTCGGGCAGGCAGCTCATCTCGGGGGCGGGGGCGGGGGGGGACCCCAGGCACACCGTGCTCCCTCCCCGCCGGCTTCCCGGCACGGAGAGGAGCGGAGGGAGGTGGGACGGGCAAGCCCACGGTGTCCCGTGGGCTCTGGCACGGCCCCCGTCCCGCTCCCGGCACGGGTGGGGAGCCCGGGATGCTCCGGGGGGAGACTTCGGGTGCGCACCAGGGCCAGCACCTGGTCTCGGAATGAGTTCAGCAGGCCTGGAGGGGAAACCGGCCACCCATCGACACAGGCCGGAGCTCCTCTTCCCCGCCGTACGTTGCTCCTTTTTTTTAATCGGGCAATGCGTTTCTATTAAGTCATGTTCCTGACTCCAGAAAATGCGTGAAGCTTCAAACTTCTTCCTGCTCCAGCTGTGCTGGATGTAGTTTGAAAAATAACTCTTAGTTTGTCACTAACTGCTTGAAGAGCATCAAAAATTTTATTTCCTTCATGTGCTTCTACTGCTGTCTGCTCGGTATTCAGTAAGCCTGAGCTGAAATTAATTAGATTTATTGTACAGGACGCTATCTGAATGTTGTTACGAACACTCATGAATTCTGGAAAGGCTTTGCAAAGGGACAGGGTAACAGCAACATTAGAATAATCGAGATCTAGGAACGGAGATACCAAATGTGTGGCTGGAACCGGGGAGACTTCAGTTTTGCTTAGCAGTGACATAATTAATACGCTGGCGACGGGATTGCAGTCCTCCGCACATATCGGTGTGATCTGATCACTGAAGCTCAGGAGTGGGACTCGGACGACCTGGATTCTCACTTCTGACTCTCCCATCTATGGAAATGGTTTTTTTTGCACTTCATTTTTCCCGCTGTTTCATTTTGAAAATTCATGTGGGATGAGAATTCGTATTGCCGTTTAATTCTTTTACTTTTATATGCAAGATTGAGATGAGAACGGGGATTTAAAGGCCAGTGTATACCAGCAGGTGGCATTAAAAAAGATTTTGTGGTTGGCTTTTTTTTTTTTTTTAAAGCAGCTTTTTCAGTTGGGTTCCCAGAGCCACCTTCAGTTTTTAAGCTCGCATGCTGCAGTTACGCTGAGATGCTTCGTAGCTAACATCCGCTGTACTTTCTGTGGGCAGCTTAACAGGGCTGTAAGATCTCTTATTCTGAAAAGTATTCATCCCAAATACGTTTGGTTTTTTTTCTGATGTTTATTTGGCCTGTCCAACAGCGTGTGACTACTGTATCTTTTACGGTGCAGCTAAGTTAATTTGGAGGTGTATAAAGAACTTAGTTTCAGGTGAAGTTCCCGTGATGTGCTCTGTTCATACCAGAAACCTGACCAGGTATTCCACAGGTGACAAAGTAAGAATTATTCTCCTACATCTAGCAATTAGGAAAAAATATCCCTTTGCTTCCTCTTATCCCTAATTCCGAATAATACACAATTCCCAAATCTCTCTTTAATAGTTAACAGGTGTCTCACCGTCAGCTTGGCAGTTCTGCGTTTTACCTTTTAACGGACAATGAGGCGCCGCGCTTTAGATTTTGTAAATAGACCGGGCAAACACGACTGCATGAGAAACGCCGTACGGGCTGTAAGCGTGCGTGCAGGCTGTTGTATCAGCTGTGTTTTCATGTGTGTGCTGTAGTGCCTCTTAGCTGACATACTAAATATTTATGTGATGGGACTGGTTGAAAAAAGCGTACTGTTCCTACCGCCAGTTTTAAATGGAACATTAATGCAAATTATCTCCTCCCTACTCGGTAAAGAGTATGTTAGGGAGGTTTCTTGAGAGGGCGAGATGCTTTCCTTTTCAGAGGGCTATAGAGGTTAAACGTCCCAGTCAATGTCTTTATCTGTTGGGGTTTTTTTCCAAGAGAAAAAACTTCCCAGATGAACACAGAAGTGCCACATGTGTTGACTTTAGATAATGTGCACGGTGCCGGTGTGCACGCTCTTTGTTTAACCCGGCGGCCTAGTCCGGTGAAGGTCGAGTAGCTTCAATTGCAGATGAAGTGACCGGCGGTTCTGGTTTCATTCACCTTTCTTTACGTCCCTGAGGAACATCACGTGGCATGATGTGACCAGGGGAAACAGCATCTTTGGAGATTAAAACAAGAGCAAACCAAAATGTTCCTCACCCACGTGCGTTCTGTTCCAGAACACCTGTTGCAGCCATGATGCCTGTTGCAACCGTGATGCCCGACGACACACCGATGTTTGACCCAAATGTTCTGCATGAACTTGACTGGAGCGAGAACACGACGACGTTTTCTCCTGCTATTTCTCCTTTAGATCCAGGAGATGGCCTAGTTTTGAGACCGCTTTGCACAGCTGATATAAATCGAGGTAGAATCCTGTTTAATGATCATCACCAACAAAAGCTGGGTGCTGAACTAGATAACACGTATTTCTGCATGATCTCTCAATAGATTAGGATTGCTCATTTTATCTGATTCGGGTTATTTTTATCGGTAAGGAATCTGAGCACTTGGCACCATGGATTGGTGCTGTGTTGGGTGGCCCTCAAAATTGGTTTTACTGTTTTAATAACCTCAAAAACAATCTTAAAATTCGAGTCAAATCGTTCAAATAACCCACAGCTTCCTATTCACCACAGCTTTAGAGAGGGAGTACAGTTGTTCATGCTGTTCCCCTTAATATAAAAGTAATGTGAACCAGCATATTATTCTTAGTGCATGGAGACTTCCTCAGTTCTGTAACTCGGATAAAGAGGTTGTTCTGAACATACAGCTTAATATTGCCTAATTTCAGGCTTTTCTTTCTTGAACGTATGCATCTTCTGCACTCAAGCTGCAGTTTGCCGCTGATGCGTTAGCTGAGCCTTCAGCATTGCTCAAGGCAGGGGTTTGGTTTTACATACAACCGAGTTGGATGGTGCCACGGGGACGTTAACTCTCCAAACAGCCGTGTCGGGTTGTTCTGTGCTATGTGGAGCTAATTGTGTCTCTCTGTCCCTCACTGAGGGTTGGGGTTTCCCCCCCCACCCGCCCTTCTTCTACAA